AAGTAATAAAAACCCACTTCACTTCTAGACCCCTTCAGTGTCTAGTTGTTAAAAATAAAAATAAGAAAATAAAAACAGGACAAAATGACCAACATTTGAAAGATCTACCTCTCCATTAATGTCCATAGGGATTTCCAGAATTCATTAGAATAAAAGGTGAAGGAAATATTCTGAGAAGAGAGAGACACAAACATCTTGAGTAAGTAGAAAAATGAATCCCACTCCTAAAATAAAAGGAGAAATATTAACTTACAAATAGAATGCAATTCTAAATCCCAACCCAAGGTCATCCTTTGATATCTAATAAGTGCACCATAATATGCATATAGATATCTCTCTATATATAAAAGCCTAAGGGACTAGAGGACCCGACAACTGAACGAACGGTCACTATGACATGCACTTACCACCAGGGGGCAGACATTCAATGCAGAAGCTGAGCCCTGGTGGTCAATGCGCTCCTACAGTGGGAGCACTGCTCAGCTGACTGATGAGTGCCAGACACAGGGCTCAAACCTCTCCCGACAGGAACTGACTGGGCACAAGCCCACAGCAGACTCAGTGGGGCCAGGATGAGCAGGAGCGGCAGGCAGGAGTGGCAGGCAGTGTTGGACTGCTGGTTTCCACCCAATCCCCACAGGCCAAGCTGAGGGACCTTACTGGTGCACAAATTGGTGCACTGGGCCTCTAGTAAATATATAAATGATTTTAAAAATTCTGAATCATGATATTATTATCCTTATTTTACAAATGTGGAAAGTTTTGTTCAGAGATATTCAGCTACCCAATTTCATGTACTTTGGAAATAAAAACATTCAAACCTGTAAAGCGAGCATGTCAAACTTGCAGCCTATGGGCCACAGGGGGCCCACAACAAATATTATATTTTTGCAGCCTAGCCAATGTAATGGTATGTAAGAAATGTTTTAATAAAAATTTCATGACTTAATTTTTACCATATCCTGTTATACATAATTATTAATAACAAACTACAATGTTCACTAATGATTGATTACTATAATCGTGTTACACCTTATGTGCAGGTGAACCATTTCTCTCCACTAATACCAGGAGCAGCCAATTGCCACGTCATTATTCTTGGACTGACTTGCTTGGTGTGTGCAAAAGAAAAGTTTTTTCTTTTGAAGAATAAGAAAAATAGGCTTATTTGCATTACACTTATTAATTTGTGCAGTTATTCAGTGTCTGATAAGTTAATGTTCAAGAAAAAATATTAATTTTTATTAAAATGTTTTATTTTATGTTACCGATTACTCATTTATTTTAGTCCTTTGTATTCAGCATGTCTTTATCGAAATAAACGTACATTTCTATTAAAATTAAAGCTTTTATTTTTTTGCAGCCCACATAAACTTACACTTTGTTTATTTGTCCTGTATTAGCCTTTGAGTTGACCTGCTTGCTGTAAAGAATTTTGTGAATTTATTTGAGCCAAACTGTTGACAATTGCCAGGAAGCAGAATCTCAATGGATTGAGATAATGTTCCAGAGAATGGCAATTCTTCACCTTGTTTTAAACATTAGAATCAAAGGAGACATAAGTGGATTACATGAAATCCATTGGTGATAGATGAGGGAGGCCGGAGAAAGCAAAGTGGGCATGGGGTGGGGGAGATGGAGAAAAGAGTGGAGGGTTGGTGTTGGGAGCCAGCAGAGTTGAGGCAAGCAACTCAGTCTTAAGGAAATAGAATTAAGCCAAGACAGGGAACGTTTTGCATTCAGTCTCCCTGTTACTAATTTTAAAGGACCTATGCCCCAGTACCAATGGAAAGTACTCCTTCAAGGCATGGCAAATAGCCCCACCCTATGTCAGAAATTTGTGGCCCAAGCTATAGACCCTCTCAGACCTTGCTGGCCTTCTATCTACATTATACATTACATGGATGACATTCTCCTAGCAGGAGCTTCATGCCCTGAAGTACTCAAATGCAGCCAAGAACTGGCTGCCCGCCTTTCCTCTTTGGGGCTTCGAATAGCTCCTAACAAAATACAGCTTAAAGACCCTTATTACTATCTTGGTTTTGAACTAAATCAAAACAGCATTACCACTCAAAAAATTCAATTAAGAACTGATCAATTACAAACCCTTAATGATTTTCAGAAGTTCTTAGGAGATATCAACTGGCTCAGACCCTACTTAAAACTAACAACAGGAGATTTAAAACCCCTCTTTGACATCTTACAAGGAGACCCTGATCCCCTTTCCCCCCGTAAACTCTCTCCAGAGGCTAAATCTTCCCTCTCCAAGGTTGAAATTGCCATTCAGCAGCAACAAATTACATTCCTATCCTATGATAAACCTTTTTCGCTCATTATCTGTACTACTACCCACACACCTACGGGAGTCTTATGGCAGGACAACCCCCTACTCTGGATCCACTTGCCCTCATCCCCCTCCCGAGTTCTCATTCCATATCCATCCTTAATAACCAAAATTCTCCGATTAGGCAGGGAACAGAGCCGTCAATATTTTGGTCGAGACTCCGATCATATTATACTTCCCTATACAAAAGAACAAATTAACTGGCTCCTCCAGCAAGATGATGATTGGGTTATTTCCTTCTCCTCATTCCAGGGAACAATAGATAATCATTACCCTCCTAATAAATTACTCCAATTCGCTCAAATACACCCTTTTATATTTCCAAAGATCACATCTAAAAACCCCCTTAAGCAAGCATCCCTAGTGTTCACAGATGGATCCTCCACTGGCATGGCAGCATACACCATTGATAGTCAAGAATTCACTGTTAAATCCCCTTTCAAATCTGCACAGCTTGTTGAACTGTTTGCTGTTCTACAAGTCTTTTCAAAATTACCAGCCACCCCTTTTAACCTTTATACCACATGTGTCAAACACAAGGCCCGCGGGCCAAATCCGTCCCGCCAGGCCTTGCAATGTGGCCCACACCGCGCTGTCATCACTGCACTCTGCTGCGTTTCCATCACAATGACAGTTTATGACTGTTCAGTAAACCATTCAGCCCTCGATTTAGGCTGGATTTTAGATTTTGGCACCTTTTCTGATTGAGTTCGACACCCCTACTTTATACTGATAGCTCCTATCTAGTGTCCTCCATTCCTCTACTAGAAACTGTCCCTCATATTAAACCCACCACCAATGCAGTCCCCCTTTTTCAGCAATTACAAACGCTAATTACAAATAGACTAGCCCCCTTCTTCATTGGACACTTAAGAGCCCATTCAGACCTTCCTGGCCCCCTTTCTCAAGGCAATGCAGCAGTAGACCGAAACACCTGACTTGTATACTCCCTTTCTTTAGATCCCCTTTCCCAGGCTCAACAGGCCCACAATATCCACCACCTCAACGCTAACACCCTCCGCCTTCTGTTCAAAATTACTAGAGAACAAGCCCAACACATCGTTAAAAGCTGCCCTGGATGTGTCACTCTCTTACCCCTCCCTCACCTGGGAGTTAATCCCAGAGGTATCCTCTCCAATGAAATTTGGCAGATGGACATCACCCACATCCCTGAGTTTGGCAACCTCAAATATGCCCATGTCACCATTGACACCTACAGTGGGTTTATTTTCGCTACCCTCCATAGCGGAGAGGCCTCTAAGAATATTATAGCTCATGTCCTCCAATGTCTTACCATTATGGGGAAGCCTCAAAAAATCAAAACTGACAATGGACCTGGATATACCTCTCAGGCATTCCAAAATTTCTGCCATCAATTTCACATTAAGCACACCACTGGCGTCCCTTATAACCCCCAAGGACAGGGAATAGTAGAACGAGCTCATCAAACCCTAAAAAGCACCATAAACAAACTAAAAACAAATGATGTTTATCCCACTAGAGGCTCCCCCTGTAACCTTTTAAATCATGTGTTATTTACATTAAATTTCTTAAAATCAGACAAAGAAGGAAACTCGGCTGCCGACCGATTTTGGCACCAAGAAACAAAAAATCAATACGCAAAAGTCATGTGGAAAGATCCATTGACCTCGAAATGGCATGGTCCAGACCCGGTCCTTATCTGGGGACGGGGGTCCGCATGTGTCTATGACACACAGGAGGAAGGACCGCGATGGCTACCAGAACGCCTGATCAAACCCATTAATTCCCCTAAATAACAACCTCCCTTCCAGGGAACTATTCCCCTGTGAAAGACTCCCTCCCTTTCCTTCTACAGATCATGGCAAAAATTATCCTGACCCTGCTTTCAATCCTGATCCCCTTGACCAGTGGTGGACTAGGACCTCTGGTAAACAGAGATCAATTAATCCTAAAACTATTTGGCAACCCTTGTAGGTGTGACGGGGGTAGTACTGCAGGAAAGCCTCCCAGGTACACCCGCATAGCTGATTGCGGCAGTTTCACTGCCTATCTTGTCTATGAACAACGTATTGATGGGATTAAACAAAGCTGGAAATGCCAGAATAAACCTAAAATCATACCCCCAGTTGACGGCAGACCTGGATCTTGTCCCAAGGATTGCCAAACAGTCTTAGAACTACACTCTACCTGTTATAGCAGTGTCCAACAGTGTACAAATACTGATGGCAAGGTATACCTAACTGCCATTCTCGAGAAAACCTACCTTGGCTCCTTTGGAGGTGAATACGATCATACCTCCAGAGGCCACTCTAAGTATGCCCAAGCCTCTTGCCGTGGCACAGTTGGCAAACCCATCTGCTGGCCACCACGAGCTCCAATCCATATATCTGATGGCGGCGGGCCATCTGATAGAGTAAGAAAAGCCGAGGTTCAAAAACAAATAGAAGAATTTATCAAATTTAAGTACCCTCCACTACAATACCACCCTTTAGCTCTACCCAAACCCCGAGGTATAGACTTAGATACCCAAACCTCAGATATTCTAGAAGCCACCCTAAAGGCCCTCAATGTCTCCAACCCGAAACTGGCAGAGAATTGTTGGCTATGCATGACGCTTGGTACACCTATGCCCCTCGCCATCCCAGCTAACGTTACCAGCCTCCTATCAGAAAATAATTGTAGTATTAGTCTTCCTTTTAGGATTCAACCTTTAAGATTTAACTCAACAATATGCCTAGAAAGCCCTCCTCAGAATAATAGTTATGATGTAGATGTGGGATTTATTACCTTTTCAAACTGCTCTTTTACCATTAGTAAAACTTCATCCCTCTGCCCCGCTCCTGGACAAGTTTTTATATGTGGAGGAAACATGGCCTTCACGGCCTTGCCTATCAATTGGACCGGGCTATGTATACAAGCTATCCTCCTCCCTGATATTGACATTGTCCCAGGAGATGAGCCCGTCCCCCTGCCCTGCCTTGAGTATATTAGCGGCCGCAGTAAGCGCGCGGTTCAGTTCATCCCCCTACTCATAGGTCTAGGAGTCACAGGAGCCGTGGCCACCGGCTCAGCAGGTCTAGGAGTAGTGGTCAACTCATATGTTAAACTTTCTAATCAGCTGATTGATGATGTTCAAGCCCTTTCCGGAACCATCAATGACCTTCAGGATCAAATAGACTCCCTAGCGGAGGTTGTCTTACAGAATAGAAGAGGCTTAGACTTACTCACAGCAGAACAGGGAGGGATATGCTTAGCCCTACAGGAACGTTGCTGTTTCTACGCCAACAAGTTTGGAATCGTCCGAGACAAAATCAAGAAACTATAGGAAGACCTGATAAAGCGGCGGAAAGAACTGTTCGAGAACCCTCTCTGGAGCAGACTAAACGGACTTCTCCCCTACCTTCTCCCCATCCATAGGTTTCTTATTAGTCTTATCCTTTGGCCCCTGGGCTTTTCGGAGGTTGACAGATTTTGTAAAACAACATATTGACAGCATCTTGGCCAAACCCATCCAGGTACATTACCACCATTTAGCCGTAGCTAACCATGAGCAAGATTATGAACTTTACCATCGCTCCCTCCCTGCGGGGACAGCATGATGACCAGAGGAATGCTTACCTACTCCTCACCAAGGAGAAAGGTATGGGTACTGATATGGGTGCAGAGCAAAGCATTGCAAGAGAAGGTCCAAAAAATTTTCCGACCCCCTCTTCCCAAGGGAAGGTCACGGGAAAATTTCGACCCCCTCTGGATCTCCCTGTGAGCATACCTGGTTTGCATAGAGGTTGGTATCAATACAAATCAAATCGGCTCTGCCTCTCCTCCCCAAAAGATACCAAGAGCCACTAACACTGGTGGGCCTGGGAAGCCCACGGGAGGAACCAGGTCACTACTCCCCCAATCGGTTAAGGCCCACCCTCAATTAAGACAAAGGGAGGAGATGTTGGGAGCCAGCAGAGTTGAGGCAAGCAACTCAGTCTTAAGGAAATAGAATTAAGTTCCTTCTAGCAGAAGTTATGCGGTGCCCTGAGGGCTTGGCCAGAAGATAAGATTAACCTGGGGCTTAGCATCTTCCTGTCTTCCTGCCTCTTCCCCTTCCAGATCCTCCCCCCTAGATAGCCCAGCCTTGGAATGTTGCACCTTGGAATGTCACACCACCCCTGGCAATTAGCCAATCCTGTGTTGCCAGATACCAAAGACCCCCCTACATAGGCAACCCTGCCCCCCCTTTGTTTCTGCTGTATAAATACAGCCATTTCAGAGAATAAAATTGAGGCTTGATCAGAACCTTGTCTTGCCTTCATTCTTTCGAGTTCCTTGTTTGTTTCATTCTCTTAGGTGGTTCCTGCGTGCCCCCGTTGTTGCCCCACGGGTTGGGACAGGTTGGGAGAGGGGAGGGTAAACCTCTGGGATTGGATAAAAAGTAAAATGATAGACACATACTTCTTTTACTTAGGTGGATGCAAGATTGTTAACAGTCAACAATTCACATGATAACAATAACAATGAAAGAATTTATGGTATCAGTCCTGGCATCTAGGTGCATTTGGATGTGCCCAGAGAGGTCCAGAAAAGGGGAAGTTGCAAGTTACCCTGATGAATGCAAAAAGACAATAGGCTCAGTTAAGGTAAAGATTGCCCTTTATCAGGGAAGATACATGACTACCCATCATAAACGACTTTTAGTTAAAGTTTTAATTTCAGACCATCCTTTGTGGTTACTTTATTTATTTATTTTTATTTTATTTTTTTAATATATTTTATTGATTTTTTTACAGAGAGGAAGGGAGAGAGATAGAGAGCTAGAAATGTCGATGAGAGAGAAACATCAACCAGCTGCCTCCTGCACACCCCCTACCAGGAATGTGCCCACAACCAACTTACATGCCCCTGACTGGAATCGAACCTGGGACCCTTCAGTCTGCAGACTGACACTCTACCACTGAGCCAAACCGGTTTCAGCTCTTTGTGGTTACTTTAGATCATTGAGTTTGCAAAACCACCTGCTGCAGGCCTTCCCTGAGCTAGTCAGGTTAGTATGTGGCTTTTTTTTTTTTTTTTTTTTCCCATCCATAGGCATATCCATAAAACTAGTAAACCCATGGTTTTTTTTTTTTTTTAACCATATCTTAGTTCCTTCTGAGAACATCTAATGAAATGTAATGTATAAAAGTTTCCTTTCTTAAATGCTTGGGTTATCTGGGATGGATAAACAGTAGCATAAAGTTAGGGATGCTGCTCCTGGTGAAGCATCCATCTTATATGAAAACTGCTGTCTGAAATTTTAACCCTACTAATTGTCTTCTGTAAATTCTTGCTTGCTAGAACTACTCCCACTTTAGTGAGGCCATTAAACCTTCCCCAGAAAAGGTTATCAGTGCTGGCACCAGGGTAGGCCTCTGGCTGAGGTCTCAAGGCCCAGCACATACGGGCTCTTTAAGAACTTGGAAAAGGGGCTGGAAATATTCCATATTTGGGAGACAAAGAAGGTAAAAACATATAAATAGGGAAAATTCCTGCATATTGGGGCCCAGAATTTGAGAGATATTTTCCTCTGGACCCGCCCATAAAAAAATGAAACTCCATCTATCTGGTATTGCTTTGTTCTTCTTCGGTTTTCTGTAACACTGGAACATAAAATGTACCTTATGTAAGGTTTGAGGCTCAGGAAACTGACCACCGGGGGCATTTTTAAAGTAAAGTTTATTCCCCAGTGATGAGAGGAACTCATTATGGAGGTAGAAAAATCAGAATTGAAGCAGTGTGTGGGGGGGAGAGGGGATGGACCCAGCTGGGCTGCCGCCTGGATATGGAGGACCAGCAGCACGTGGCTAGTCTGGGGGTCTTTTTAAGGGGAGGAACAGGAGAGGGTTGGACCCAGGGCAGAACAGGAAGGGGTGGGCTCCAGGACACTTTGGTATGCACTGATTGGTGGCTCAATGTCCTGGGGATGTCTCTGTGACAGATGCCAATAATGTCATAACTCAGCCCACCACTTGGGAGGAGGGAGAACATTAAACCTTACTTATTTGTTTACAGGTATATGTATAAAGCAAAAGGAACAAAATATGTAGAGCTTTATTTCTTACATAGCAACTTGTCTGTTCAGCCAGTGAACAAAAGGGTATTCAGAGCTAACTTGTTGCACAATGGATCCACCATGATATCTTCTGCATCTAAGAGAAATAAAATGATCATTTTAGGAGTCACATTATAAAGTAATCATTGAGAGTTCAGAATAGGAAGGGCTCCAAAGATAAAGCAGCGTTTTTCAACCGCGAGATGTTGCCTGGTGTGCCGTAGGTGCAGACAAGACAAGAATTTTATAATTTTTCACTATTTTGTTTACTTAATATTTCATAATAAAGTAATTATAAAATGCTTTCTTTGTGTTTATTTGATTCCTATTCAAGAGAATTACTTTATATATAGTCAATATAGGCACAGAGTTAAATTTTTTAACATTTTCTAATGGTGGTGTGCCTTTTTCATGAAACAAGTGTGCCTTTGCCAAAAAAAAGGTTGAAAAACACTGAGATAAAGGTATCTTTAAGGAATTCTTAGAGGTGAGAAACAGCTGTGTGGTTAAAATGTTTTCCTAGATAACTCAATTCATTGACACACAAAAGGAAGGGAAATAGCACTTGTGGTTTGTAAAGAAAATGTTAATGACTTGCCTCAAAGGGGAAATGTTTAGACAAAGAGGAAGTACTGGAGTGGGAAATAACAGGCAGTCCAGTAGGAGCTTTCTTTGCAAACCCGTTTGGGCTCCCTGTCCAACCTTTGTAAAGGTTGATGGTTCAGATAACCTGTAACCTAGACTCACCTGTGAGATTACAGAAGCATTGAACAGTGACCTGATTAAAGCCTAGGACATTTGATCCCTGAACATTAAATTGAGTTTCCTTGAAAATGGATGCAATGAAGACTAGATGGATGCAACTAACCCTGTGATATAATCGTTGAATTTTGTGAGTTATAATAAAGGTCTGGCTATGAACTTTAACCAGAGGGAATAGCTATACCATTATGTTTATTGATGATATGCATGGTTCAATAAGATGTCCATACTAAAAGTACATGAAAGGGTTAATCAGGAAACAGGGCTCTTGATTAACCAGGGGCTAACAAAAGAAAGCTTGTTCAGAAAGCCTAAGCCTCGGTCCCCTTGAGTAGATATTGCACAGAAATGCCTGAAGACCATAATTCCTACACAGCCCCCAGGAGGAAGGACATCTGGTGCCAGCAGAAGGACAAAGGGCAAGGACAAAGTCTTGTTATGTGTGTCAGCCTAAAGCCATCTGCAAGCTCTCCCTATGCACATCAAAAGCCTGCCCCCTTCCCATTCGCCACTGATTTCTTTTTTGAACTCAGTCCACCTGCACCCAGGTGCCTCAAATAAATACCTTTTGACTACAGAGCCTGGAATTGGTCTATGTGACCCCAGCCCAACTCTGAACCTTTCAGTAAACACTATTGAGGCTAGTTAGATCTGCATATGAACATGAAAATGGTCAGCAGGAATAAAAATAAAAACGTATCCTATATAATAAAATGTTAATATGTGAATAGACTGAACTGAGGAAGAACCTAACAACTGGTTGCTATGACATACACTGACCACCAGGGGGTACACGTGGAACATGGAGGACATTGGAAGGAGGTGGCAGTGTGGAACATGGTAGGCGTCGGCTGCAGCTGTTATGCCCAGATTCCAGGGTCCCCAAATGACCACCAGGGAGCCAGTCGAATCCGATGCAATAACAAAGAGTCTTTATTGCAAATCAGTTTGGGCTTCCTGTCCACCGCACTTGCAGACGCAGCGGCACAGGACACAGAGAGCACCCGGCTCTGGAGAACAATATCTATATAGGGCTAACTATCTGGGTGGGCTTAGGAGGGTGATGTGAAGGTTGTGACAGTGACTGGCCATTCTGGCCAGGGAATGGTCAAGAATTGACCACTGCATTCTAAGGTTGAGCCATCCCCTCTGTTGTTTGGCATAATTTGGACCTTGGCTGTGTTCCTGGAGCTTCATTGGTCCACTCAGGCAGGGGTTGGGGAAGTTAGGATAGCTGGCATTCCTGAGGTTGGGGTCCCAGCTTCACACTATGGAAGGTAGTTAGTTTTGCTTTACTCTTTCATAGCGGGATGGTGGAGCAGGTGAATGGTGGCCCCAGACCAAGATAGGGTGCTGATCACTGTAATCCGGGCAAGCTTCTGGTGGTTACTGAAAATTCTTTGCTCCCCAGTGCCTCAGTCCCACCCAGAGCTCGCACCTGCTGCTAGCATCAGAGCCACACCTGCTGCTAGCCATGGCCCCACTTACGCTTGTTGCTGGCGCCCAACATTGGTCCTGATTGCTTGGCTCCATCAGGGAGTGCTAGCAGTGGCTGCTGGCCC